AAGTAATTGGGAGCCAGACACAAACTCATAATTACAACAGGCTCATATAGCATAGCAACATTGGGAGAGAACTAGGCCTTCAAGGTGTACCAAAGGTACTTTTTCAAAGGACCTTGTTTTTCTTTGAAGATGTTTCACTTCTTATCCAAGAAGCTTCTTCAGTTCTGATTGAATGGTGGAGGATGAAAAGATTTATATTCCTTGCAATCATCTGGTCGATGGCACTCTTTCTGAGAGTCATTGAGGCCCCCTGGAGGTTTACCTGTGCCCTCAAGGTCACCTGAATAATGCAAATAGGTGTGGAACCTTCTTGGAACTGCTGAAAGGATTGTAAACAGGAGATAGGGGTGTCGTATCCCTCCCCCTCTGATGAGAGAGAGCATCTTAATGTTAGTCTTAATGTAGATGGCCTCTTTGACCCCTCTTTCAAACCAGCAGTCCTCTTTATCCAGAATGTGGACTTTGAAATCTTCAAAAAAGGGACCTTTGTCTGTCAAAAGCAGATGGGCTGCTGAATCTTATCCTGATTGGTTTGTTCTCCTATGTTGTTTCTCCACTGTACAGATCTGTACATGTCTCACTGTATTGTACTGCTTATATCACATTGCTCAATTTGTTATCCTTGGGGTGGACCCCAATCAACAATTAAAAAGCCACACACAACAGACACCATATAAATACCACACACAGAATAGCCCAAAGCACACACTCTGCTAGAGAGAAGTTCCCTGAGGATGGGCTCCAGCATAGGTCCAAAAGCTTGGAAGACTAAACCTCTGGTCCTGCTGACCCACCCAGATTGAACCCTTTGCCTATTCACTCTAAGAACTTACTTTCAGTTGCAGAAACATAGCTAAAAAGAGATTTTCAGGACATCACTGTTTATTAATTTTGCAAGTGGATTCAAGCAGCACACTGAGCAACAAAATATAATCAAGCTGCATCCACTAAGTATTAGTGGATAAAATTGGAAGGTAACGTCGAATAGTAATATAAAAAAGACAGCACACAGCACAAATTAGGGTTTATAGTTTCCTGTAAAATGATTAAGAGCAGTACCTTCTCTTGAAATAATATTAATATTTGAACTATAAATATTTCATGCTGTGCAGCATAACAAACCATTACGCTAATATGCATGAAATATGTTTACTTATTCCTGAAAATATATTTTTAAATAGAGGAAAGTTATTGGATTAATACTGAGCCATGTTGCAAAACTAACCATCTCTTTTCTCCAACAGGTCCAGTGCCACACCTACACTGGATATTGCTGGTGTGTCACTCCAGATGGCAAGCCTATCAGTGGTTCTTCTGTGCAGAACAAAACTCCTGTATGCTCAGGTATTGAAGGCAGAGAAAAAAAGGTTTGCATATTTTGAAAGGAATAAGCTCTTTGCATTTATAATCTTTAAAATTCAGTTAATACAGCTCAACAGTTCAAACTGTACTGTGCACATGGTTGTCCATCTTGTGGCTGAAACATTGCTGGTCAAGAGATAACAATTAGAGTTACAGGTGGTCCTTGATCTATGATCACAAATGAGCCCATAGCCCATACAATCATTTTTACAAGAGTTGCTAAACTAGTCACCATGGTAATTAAATAAATAATGTGGTTGTAACTTAGAATCCAGCTTGTCCAGTGGACCTTTTTTGCCATTTCTTTGCTGGAAAATGGCAAAAAAGTTGCAAAATGCAAACATGTGATCATGGGACACTGCAGCCAGTCGTAAATGTGAGCTGGTTGCCAAGCACCCATAATGCTATCATGTGACCATGGGGGGCAGGTGGGGCGGCAGGTATAACTTCGAGGATGGATTGTTAAGTGCAGTAAAGATTTTTGAGTCTGTTGTAACTTCAAATGGTGGTTAAGTGACTGGTCGTAAGTCAAGGACTATCTGTACTGCTAAACATATATTGCTAATAAAAATAGTTTCTTGATTCTGTTTTGAGTAGCGTGCTTCTTTTTTAATAAATAAATGGTATATTGTTACTTGTTATTGTTTGACAGAAATCCTTAAGAATGAAATAATTTAAATTCTTACCATGTCTGGAAAAAAAAATTCTGATAATTTCACAGTGATTAGTTCTAGAAGAGCCTGATTTGGGTTTAGTTGGATAGCACAACTCTTAAATTAGCCATTTATGCTACATTGCCTAATTCTGTTGCACATCTATGGTAAAAATATCCATTGGCTCTACAGTGATCATTTTAATGTTAATTATAGTTCTAATCAATAACCAAATTAATCAATAACCAGGGTTCATTGGCCATGCTGTTTATCGTTCCTTCATCAGGTTGGTCACATCACCAATTTTCCCGACTGCCTTTTTTTTTTTGTCCTTGTAATTCGTAAGTTTATTTCAAATTTAATCCAGTTAAAAGGCAGACCAAATACAGAACTGGCAGGCAAAGCAGTAAGTGTAGAGATTAGATGATTGCTTGGATCCAGTTATCTAACTACTACTATGGGCATAGTGCTTTGAAGCTTGTCTATAGATTGGACTGTACTTTGGATGATACCAGTGAATGTTATGCTCATATAGTAACATACTTGCTTTTTGTTTAAGGCTCAGTAACTGACCGGCCATTAGGACAGGGTAATTCTGGAAGAAAAGGTGAGTAAAGTTCTATGCTACAATGAGGTGAAGTTTTTGAAGGCTTTCCCATTTATCATTTGTTCCATATTGGAACTTTTAAGAAGAACATGCAGGTGTAATCAAATCAATTGTAATACATTTCAACTTCTATGCTGCTTTCCTGGATATTAATGCTACATCTTAAAGTATTACTTAAAAATAAGAATCTTGGCAAAAATCATGCTAACCTTGAGGACATCTAGTACTCTTTCACAATGCATGAAGGACTTACATGCTCAACATAAGTCTTATACAAGGCACAGGAGTTGTTCCAAGTTTAGGTTTTATGACTTAATATTTATTTCTGAGACAGTGACATCTTTGCCTTGGAGGTAGGTTTTTTTTTCAGCTCAACAGAATAATCAGGTCAACCCAAATGCTGCTCTAACATGCCACAATCTTTCATTTCCCAAGAATAATTCTTTACAGACCAACAAAATCCTTGATCTTTATATAGACCATACATTCTCTATTTCACTTGAAGATCAATAGTTTAAAATGATCAAAAATTGGTTAGTCAAATCTTTCAAATGACTTGAGCTGGGCTTCCTAGAAGAAGACAATATAGAAAATCATTTCTGCATGTAGTTTTGTATTATATTTTCCATATTTCTACAATGGAATATTAGAACATTTTCCCTTTAATTCAGTTGTAAAGGCTAAATAAACAAGTCACATGCATTTCGGCATTTTTTATAAGCCTGCCTCTTTCAGAGCTGACTCAGAAATCATACAAATTATCAGCTTTTACTAAGATGAACAATACTAAGGAGGACATGTTTCATTAATGTAATTATGAGATTTATAATTGATGCTTATCTTCCAGAATTATGAAATGTGCTTAGGAAAAATAGTTTGGACTTTTGAATTTTTTCTACATTCATTGAATATTACTAAGGCCTATATTTATTATAGAATTGCAGTTATCCAGAGTTTCTGGAAATAGTCAGGATATACAAATTTCTTACATAATAAGTAAATAAAACATAGCTACCCAGTTGTAATTACTGAAAATGGCTTCTGGTGGCTATCAGCTGACATTCTGCATAAATATATGTTGGCTATTATATGATAGTTATTATCCATAAACCTAAATGGTACTGTCATCTAGAAACATGAACATTTTAAAAGCTGTCTGGCTGATCGGTGTTGGAAATAAAGTTTCTGATGAATTGAAACAGTGGTCTCATCCAGCAAGGTAAATTTTGTTTTTCAAAGCCATTTTCAGCCTGATGGCCCCCGTATGTATTTGAACTACAATTTTCAAAATTCCCAGCTACCCTGAACGCTGTCCAATTTTTACATGAGAACTGTTGTTTTAATGCTTTCAGACATGAGGTTTTAATGGTTTTAGCCACTGCAGTCCAGACAAGTAGAATGTGGCTTTTTGTACTAATCCTCCCTTAGTTTACACCAGTGATTGATGGGAAATGATGTCAGGAAGATCACCATTCAGGTAAGAGCTATCAAAAGACCTTACTGCTATATAGCAGTCATGTGGTAGCAAAGGTAATCAGTACGTCCTTGGGTACCATTTTGTATAAGGTGGCAACCAAATGATAGGGAATGAAAATGTGGTTTTCCCTATGCCCTGTTTATAATCACTGCACTACAAAAAAGGGTTAGGGAATTATACACGTAATATACTATGATATTCATTATTGCTGGAAGTTTTCTGTCATAAAAACATGTTGCCAACATCTATCTGTAGCATAAAGGAGTTTCTTATTTCATCTGCTCCTATGTTTTGATTAAAGAGGATAATAGAAATTTATTTCTATCTTTCTTGCAAACCTTGTTTCCCTTTGTAATGATTTTGTGCTGCCAAACTGAGAGGGAAAGAGCAAGAAACACAATGGATTCTAAACTGGATCTTCTGCCATTTTGCCATGGGAAGGGTGGAGAGGAAGAGAAAAAAAAATAGCTTGCTTCAGCAGCATAATTTGTTCAACTCTGGGTTTCAACGTCTCTCACCTTGGAAGTGAGACTAACAATTGCCATTTATAAGAATCTCTTCCTCATTCATCTGAAGTCTTGGATTAACCACTTTATGACCTTTAATCCTTCTCATATGTAATTGATGCAAAGCAGAACAGCTCAGCTCTTTTCTGCCATGTGCTGAATGGTGAATTGACTGAAACTTGACAGTATTTTTATGTCTGTTTCCAATGTTTTTTTGGTCCTGCCCTTTCATTGAACTTTCCCATTTGTTTGCCTGAAAGGAAATTGTCAGAGTTCCCGCCCCCACTTTATCTCTACTGTTACTTAATCTACCTTTTAGAGAGAGCAGCCTTCCAGCTTATTAATGCATATATTTCAGTTGGAAGTCTTCTGCCTTATGTGCTCTCACCTAGTTTCTTTACCAGTTTGGGGACTGATTGGGTGAGACCTTTCCTCCTCCACCTCTTTAATAAGCCTGTCACAATGGTTACATATACTATTTTCCAGGTAATTATTAACATTACCCATAGGTTCCTAATTCTTGCTGATTGAGAGTTAAATATTTTGAAACACAGCAATTTTTCTGGTTAAACAGTGCAATATTTGCTCTTGGGTTAAATGTTAGTCTTCATCCCCAGCCTGCTGACTTGCTTTGAATTTTTTAAGTTTTGAGTGTTTCATTTTCTTTCTATATTTCATATTTGTGAAACAACTCAGCTTCCATATTTTATTTCATTTTGGTAATACAGCTGCAATATTTATTTGTTTTTTTATTCTGGAACTCATGTCAATGTTCATAGTATTCTAAATTTTAATTTAAAAACCATACAAGGTAGGTTGGGCTGAGAAAGAGCAACTGGGCCAAAATCATCTGGTAAATTTCCATGGTTAAGAGTGGACAAGAAGCTGGGTTTTCCTGGTGCCAGTCCAATGCCTTAACCATTACAGCACAGTGGGTTGCTTTGCATGTTAGCATATCAGAGAATGCAATACTCTGAAATAACTTGATTTATATGAATGGTTTGGTCTAGGATTAATCTCACAAAAGAACACCTCCCAATATTTGCATGTTTTAAAATCTTGTGGTTTTAGGAGAGCTTGACCATCATATAAGAATTTCCACTCTGAGGAAGTGGAAAGAGCCAATAAACAGAAACTAAACACTTTTGTTATAACTGAGTTGGTTTTTCAGTTGGAAAATTTGGAAGATAGATGAGGTTGCAGTGCTTCGAAAAAAAAAAGTGATTTAAATGCTTCCTTGGTTTAAAGACGTCACTACAGGAAAGGGCTTACATATAGTTCCAGTTAACTTACCAACTGTTATTTTTTCTAGGCTAATATACTTTTACCTCTATTACTTTTATCCTAATAATGGGTAACTCTAATGCCCTTTGAGCTGCTATGATTTAAGATGGTTTAGAATAGGGGTAGGCAACCTTGGCTCTTTTATGACTCGTGGACTTCAACTCCCAGAATTCCTGAGCCAGCCATGCTGGCTCAGGAATTCTGGGAGTTGAAGTCCACGAGTCATAAAAGAGCCAAGGTTGCCTACCCCTGGTCTAGAAGCTGTAGGTGTTGCAGAATGCAACTGTAAAATTGTCGAATGGAATCATATGACACAAACTTTTTCTAACTTCTTAATTGGTGCACAATTATTTTGTACACCACATTTAAGGGGAGGTGCAGGAAGGAAATAATAACATTCTGACTTGATAGGTCACTGTGGTATGTTCTCTCCCTAACCTAAATTTAATCCTATCTTTTACTGTTGTATTTATTATTTGTCTTATTTTTTTTAAAAAAAATGCTTTTGATTGTGGTTATATTTGTTGCTTAATTATAAACAATGGTGAAAACATGTTTCTCCAACCTGTACCTATGGCTAGCTCCCATTGTTTTTTCTGTATCTTTTGATTGAAGTGCTCTTAGTAGTTGATTTATAAACTTCAACCTTAATCAGCAGCTTCATGGTTTTCTGTGGGCAATATGCAGAAGTCATTTTTTTTCTCATGCTATTTACAACAAGGTAGTTCACATTCTGTTTTGTAGAAATTTTGTAAATATCAACGTTGGCACAACATTTTCAGAATTTTTAAAATGTTTGAGGGAAAACAGATGCACACCTTAGATGTTCAATCATTCTCTGTTAATTCAATGGAATGTAGCATTCCACAACGGTTAGCAAATTCCAGAAGTTCCAGAATGACTGAATTAACTTTTGACTGCATCTGGAGAGTCTTTCTCCCACTCCCCAAGATAGATTGGTTTATTAAAACTGGAATGTGATGCAATAATTATTTCCCCTGTAGAATATCAGTGCCAATGTAAGATCGTTCTTTTTCTTTGTGTTAAATGAGTTGGAATGGGTACTGAAAGCAGAACAGAAAATGTGTTATCTTTGTCTTAGAATTCATGTCAAATTAAATGAATAACTGCATAAATGGTTGGTTGCTATCAAGGGTAAACGATCATTGACACAGTCTTGAATGTGTTTTAATTTAATTTAATTGAAAAAGAAATAGAATGAAAAACCTCTAGATGTGAGTTTTATAGTTATGTGTCTGAAAAAGAAACACGCGCGTGCACACACACACACAGAGTGAGAGAGAGAGAGAGAGAGAGAGAGGTATGTTTGTTTTCCACTATGCTGAATGTGACAGAATAGCTAGGTTAATTCAGAAACTTTATTTACCTATTTATTATAATTGACTCAAGCTAAACGAACTCTAGGCAACATTCAAGAATAAGAACAGAAGTTTAAAAGAAAAACATAACATTTTAAAATAAGCCCTGTAACAGGTAATACCACTGAATCAATTGTTATTGAAGGCAGACTGAAATTAAAAGGAAAGCGATCTTAAATCTTTAGCCTAATGACCATTGATAAAAAAAACCCCTATCCATTCTATGCATTTCTTTAGAAAAAGTTCAGTAGATACAGGACGTAAGTTGCATGCCTTGAAAAAGTTCTGGAACGATTGTAGAGAAGACATCCTATAAATGGAAAATGAAAAAGTATGCCAGAATTCAGTACTTGA